GGGTAGAATGGAAATTATTTGCTTTACAAGTAGTTTCTTCCAAACCAGCAAATTCTTAGAAATATAATTTTTTACTTGAAACTTACTGAAACAAAGCATAGCATTTCCTTAAGGAAAAATAGACAAATTCAATGAGTAGACTGAAAGGAATAGAAAAGGAAAATTGTGGAAAATGGAGTGCTCCAGTCTTTTGCAAATAATGCACTTTGTTGTAATTTCCTAATTACATAACCCCAAAGTCTCCTAGTTAAAATTTATTTTTTTTATTTTTGTTTTTATTTTTTAAAGATTTTATTTATTTATTTGACAGAGAGAGATCACAAGTAGGCAGAGAGGCAGGCAGAGTGAGAAGGGGGAAGCAGGCTTGCCGCTGAGCAGAGAGCAAAATGTGGGGCTCGATCCCAGGACCCTGGGATCATGGCCTGAGCTGAAGGCAGAGGCCTTAATCCACTGAGCCACCCAGGCACCCCTAGTTTAAATTTAAGGACCTTGTTATCCACGTGAAAACTGAGATGTTGATCAAGTAAGATCAATTTCTCCCTATCTCATGTATAAAACCTATAGAAATGTAAAGGCGGAGAGATGGGTGATAGTTCATTCACTCATTCACTCATCAAATATATGTTGAGCATCTACTTGGTCCCAGGCACCAATCCAAGAGTAATGGATACATCAGTGAACAAGAATTCAAAATATTTGCCCAAAATATTTGTGGAGTTTATCTTCTAGTGAGGGGAGACAGACAATGATCAATAAGCTCTGGAAAGAAGTAAATTATAGCTTATAGTTAGAAAGGGCTCAGTGCCATGGGTGTGGGGACGTAGCGCAGGTTGAAAATAGGATTGCGAACGCCCAGGGAGGCATTTCAATTTTAAAAGGGGATTGGCAGATATGTTAATCCACAAAACAAGTCTCAATAAATATTAGAAGTTTGAAATTATAAAATGATCTGTTCTGACTACACTAGGATGAAGCTGGAAATCAATAATAGAAGGACAACTGGGAAACTCACGAATATATGGACATCAAACAATACACTCTTAAACAACCAATATGTCAAAGGAGAAACTACCAGGGAAACGAGAAAATACTTATTTATGGTTGAATAAAAATGAAAATACAGGGGCACCTTTGGTTAAGTGGCTGCCTTCAGCTTATGTCATGATCTCAGGGTCCTGGGATTGAGTCTGCATCAGGCTCCTTGCTCAGCTGGGAGCCTGCTTCTTCCTCTGCCTGCTGCTCCCCCTACTTGTGCTCTCTCTCTAATAAATAAAATCTTAAAAAAAAAATTTAAATACAACATACCAAACTGATGGGGTGAACCGAAGGCAGTGGGAAACTTATAGATGTAAACAAATATGTTGGGGGGAAAAAAAAAAAAGGAGATCTAAGAGGACAGGGCTTTTGATGTAAGAGGAAGTGAAGAGGTTGTAGTATCCAAGAAACTAGGACAAGGAAATGTCTCCTGGAGGAGGAATGTCCCATCATGTGTCTATCAGTAAGAGGTTTGAGGACCTGACACTGAGGCCAAGTTGTTATATTGACATTGAAGTACGTTTACGATGTATGGATTTAATGGTGAATGCATATATGTTACCTTAAATCTTTTCATGATTTTTGTCTTCGACAAAGTGAAAAAACTTTATCTACAAAATAATATGGACCACATATTATTCACATAAGCAGTTCATATTCACATAAGCAGTTCACAACTGCTTATGTGAACAGTTCATTACAAGAAAATAGATGTGATGTCATGAAATATAAAAACAGTGTAATTTCATGTAGAATTACCTAATGCTGTATCACAATACATCTTAATTGTGTTAGAGTTCCAAGGCGAAGATTTTTCTTATTATAATTGAGGATCATTATTCAGGATGATATCAATGATGTCATAACTAATGACGAATTTGGAAGTGAAATAATAAACTCCTGTTAGAAGAACCACAAAGATAATGTTCAGCAGGGTGACTATAGTTAATAACAGTATACTGTATAATTGAAAGTTGCTAAGAGAGAAAATCTTAAAAGTTCTTGTCACAAGAAAAAAAATTATAATAATGGATGGTGATGAATGTTAACCAGATGTGTTATGGTGATCATTTTGCAATATACACAAATAGCAAATCATGTTGTACACCTGAAACTAATGTAATATTATATGTCAGTTATAGCTCAATAAAAAAATTTTAAAAAGAACAACAAAAATCTAGAAAAGACACAGTGGAACTGTGATATTCTTTGAAAAATCACTGCAGTTGAACATATTTACAAATATATGAATTCTAGGTTAGCTGGCATTGAATAAGTCCAATAATAATTGTGTTGAATATATGCTAATAAGACTACAACAATAGGACTTTATTTTTTATTTTTTTTAAAGATTTTATTTATTTAATTGACAGAGAGATACAGAGGAGAGGAAACACTAGCACAAGCAGGGGAGTAGGAGAGGGAGAAGCAGGCTCCCTGCTGAACAGGGAGCCCAATGCAGGGCTCTTTACCAGGACCATGGGATCATGACCAGAGCCGAAGGCAGACGCTTAACGACTGAGCCACCCAGGTGTCCCAACGATAGGACTTTGAAGAGAAAATATGAGGATAAAAAATGAAAGACTATTTCAAAAGAGATTTTTACTATAAAGCTTCAAGAAAATTGTAATACGTTAGTAAAATAAAAATGCACAGAACTCATTTCCATGTGCAGGACACTAAAAGTTTTAAGACATAAGAAGATAAGATGCATTTATAGAAGTGGAAAATAAAGTCCTTATTTAATGTTTTAAAACAGATGATGGTAGCATGAAGATAACAGAAAATTGATATTTTGAGGATACCCATTACTTTATACTTTGAGTGAACTAAATGTGAATGCAAAATTATTATGATGGTCATGTTTTAATGGTATTTATCTTACAAAGATATTCCAATCCTAAAAGGACAGTTTTGCATTTTCTCAACGGTGAAAAGCCTGGTTGATATCCACTAAAATTCAGATCAGTAGTTGTGAACAGGAAGGAACAGTATATAGAGTACTCATTATGTGATCTCTGTGCCTTTAAGAACGCTGGGAGAATCTAAAAGCAATCTCTCCCAAAAGAACCAATGAAGGAGCTTCCTTGAGGGAGAGAAGATCAGCTCTGTTTAAAACAAAGCAGAACAATGAAGCATTTTTAAACTGGCAGCAGCACTCCTCCTTCTCATAGTTTGGTTTGCCCTCTTACAAAGCGACACCCTGGCATCCACATTAGAATTGAAACCGACAAGGCATCCCTTTCATCCCTGGCTGCCAAAACTCCTCACTAATAATAATTAGCCATTCCTGGCTTCTAGCCAAGAGAGTTTAATAAATACTAGAAGGGCTTTGGGGCCTCAGCTGTATTTCTAGCATTAGCTAAGGAATGATGGGGGCAGGGAGCATCAGTTTATGCCAAAGGAGATCTGCTAAATAGTGCAGCAAAAGGACTATTCACAAATGACCTATTAATGAATGGCCATTATTTAAAAATATATTTTATGTTATAGTATGTGTAGAAATACTCAAATAGGTCATATTCAGCTTTATAAAGTTTATTTCTATACCTGCCTTAAAAACATTAATATATAGCATCATAACTTCTGCTAGTTCCTCTAAAAGTTATTATCTTTGTACCTTTCATATAGGTGTGCTTTTCTAGGAAATGTAAATGGCTTTAGTTTCCAGGTAAATAATGATTCATAATATTCAATGTCTACATAATCAAACAATGTGTATAATACTGAAGGAATAGTCATTATGAATATACTAGTTTATTTACTTGATACATTCTTCATCTTGGTTTGTGATATTATCAACGATAAAATTTCATAGGGCAAAAAAATAAATAAAATTTCAGAGCATATAACTGAATGCCTTGAAAAGCAAAGATATTGTAAAAAAAAAAAAAAGAGTAGATATTGTTATATTGTATTTATTCAAAGAAATATGGTATGGTAGGGATGGGGAGCTTCTTTCCCAAACTTGTGGTTTGTTCTCTTTTTTCCCGTTTTTATTTATTTTTTTAAATTTAAATATAGTTCCACTCTTTAGGGGAAAGAAAAATATAAGAGAAATTGTTTTACTTTCTCTCACCCTTCACTCTAAAAGGCAGAGGGGAATGACTTATCTGATTGGTAAAACCTAAAGAAAGAGTGTGCAGGCATGAATTTTATTTTCTTTTACCTCTTCTAGAGTAGGCTGTCTTCAGGATTCATTCTCTCTCTGTGCCCTGGGGCAGGCTGCACCCCTGTAGGTGCGCCTGAGTAACTGGTAAGTTGGGCTTACTCAGAGGTGATGGAATATGGTTTCAAACCCAGTCACGGGGCAAGAGAGTATCTTTATCTCCATGTCTCTAACTCCTGAGTCCTACTTCTTAGGGCTTCAGAAAGCTCTAGAGGAAGAGTCAGACCAGATTACCTACCCTCAGACCCCAACATGAGTGAAAAGGGACTCAGCTGCCCTCTGGAGAATAGAAGCACTTGGCATGTGTGTGAGCATGTCTTATATCCTCGATAGCCTTCTCTACCTATTTTCCTAACCTGAAATAAATACAGATGAAGTTTTCACCCTTGTTTCAAGGCCTTAATCCTAGAATAATCTTCTTCTGCTTAGCCGACGATAAAATATATGAGTTTGTTTCATGCAATCTTGCTGAAGAGACTGAGAGTCAAGAAGGTAACTGCACTAACTAGTGCCCCCTGCCAGCTTCCTGACACGGGACTCCACTTGGATAAAACTTGCATGCATCATGACTAGAAAGTGCACCAACTTTCTCCACGAATTGCCCTAGAAAACGATTGCATGGACCATTAAGGGAGTGTAACTAAAACTTGAAGCCTATTTTCAGAACACAGGTAGTAAGCCCCTAATGAGTCTGCCTTGATTTCTAATTAAGAGCTGTTTTATCAACATATATTTATATGACAATTAGAGTAGAAATCATCGCTTTGGATGTTGACCAAGAATTAACACACTACGATCAGGAATTCAGAACATTTATTGCAAGAGCTGAGTAGTTGTAAATAACGTAGAACTGGCAAAGCAGTAACAAGGATAATTGTTTAGATATTTATTCTGTCAAAGTCATCAAACACCCCTCACAAACCGACAAAAATGTACTGCAATAAGCAATGCACCCCTACCCATTATTTTCCATTATACTGTGGAAAAACGTGAATTGCTATTTACAAAGTAATTTTATTTTTGGTAAGAACAAATTAACTATCAGATTAGCAAACCTTTTTTTTTTATTTTTTATTTATTTATTTTTTTAACTTTTAAACTGATGTTGAACCGTGGCATTAAGATAACTTTCACTTCTTTCAATAAAGACATTTTGTTGCATGCTATTTATTTGTTTAAATCATCTGTCATGCCTTAACAAAAACCTCCTAAGAATGTTCGAATTTGGATTTGTTTGCACGTGCAACTGAGATCTTATTAACATTAGTTGTCACTCTGCTGGTTTGACCTAAGTGACAAGATGCTGGTACCTGCCAGGCATTGACCGACTATGATAACAAACAGTTAAACAGCAATAATTAGAGATTTATCCCTTTATTTCCCCCAACTAGCCTACCTGGAGAATGTTCTGTTACATCATGAAGGCACAACACATTAAATATTTTGTGGCTATGGTCTAACACTTGTGTTACAACAACATTATCGTATATGAGGATCAACACAAACTCTGCCATTTCAACAAAGTTGTAGACACACATTTGCCCAGTTGAAACTATTTTTGAATAGTAATTTTTCTTCGATATATGCTAATTTTGATACATTAATTTTGTATGAGTGACAAGTACAGGATATTATATTACTTTCTGAAGGCTAACACTTTCCCATTACTCTCTCACTTAATGCTACTAATTAAGTGATTTTGCTTCGCCTACTTTGAAAACAAGGATGTCAAGAAAATAGGTTCTGAATTTCCAAGCTTTTGCAGAAGTCCTGTTTTTATATAAACTTTTCGTCTTATCTTTATTTTTTACAGAAGCCTAGCATCATAAGCGGTCACAGAAGAAGCAAGATTCCAGAACCTTTTTTTAAACACAAGTATTTGAGATCCTTTGAACAATGTGTGTCAAGACAGACTACTAACGCAGAAACACCTCACTAAAAGAAACAACAAAAATAACGACAAAGAGGCAAATTAAGAAGAAGGAAGAAGCAACCATAAAACACAGAGTTATGCTACAACAGTTTTTAGGTGAACATCGTAAGTACACAAAAGTTGTTAATAATAACTTGCTTCTATTTACAAATACTTTAACACTGATTGACTTACAAGTATCCACTAACGTTGTTAACAGCACGATAGGTTTAATGCTTATCTTTTTAAATTTCGCTTGAAGTAAAATGTCAAGTATAGCAGTCCCAGCACAAATCAATGACAAAAAGAGCACAAGTTTCTAACTGGATATGTTTGTCAGTCACTCTAATCCATGGAACTTTCTTACTCTCCAAATGCATATTCTATTGTTCATAGCAGCAGTCCAGGGTCAAAAGTAAAATTCAATTAAAAAACAACAACAACAACAACAAAACAAAAAACAAAAACAAAAACAAAAAAAGGATATTTGCACAATGGAGTGATCTCTGGAGAGTTTAATCAATTCTAGTAAATAAGATCACATGGCTAGTAGAACTATCTTCTCTTTTATGTTGTAAAATATCATATCCTCCATGGTGCTAACACAAAGTTATGGATATCCCTGCTATAAAGGGGCATAGTTATAGAGATCTATTGAATACATAAAGCTCTGACACACAGGGTATTAGCATGTCTATTTAGATTAAAGTTATTAGGTCCCATATAGCTTTTTTTTTTTTTTTTTTTTAGAGTTGGTGCTCCTTCGGACTCTCAATAGTACCTCCCGCTTGCTTATAAGACTTCAGATTTGCCAGAGGAATGTCTGTCATGTGGCTGCCATTGTTGAAATGGCCTTCATTGGAGCCATACTGCTTACGGTCATTGAACTGGTTCCTGTTGCTATCTTCTTTCCAGGATCTGGTAAGGGTGTGCCCATTCACAAGCTTGTCCTTCTTGACCCATTCTTTCTGGGGTGCAAAGGTTGAGAGAGGAGATTTAGGGTGTTGATATGGACCCAAGCCAGGAGGCATCCAGCAATTATCAGAGTGACCCAAAACCAAGCACTCTTGAGTGCACATCTCTGTAGCTTCAGCTAATCCTCGGGGACCCAAAGGCCCATCTACAGAGGGCAAGAGACAGAGAGAATAAGAAAAGAAAGTGGTTAGAATTTTAATGTAAAATTGTCTCCTTAGACAAAAAGTGCATCAGTGATCTCATTTTCTCATGAAAAACGTAACTTAAAAACAATTCAAAGAATTCAAATGCTTTCAAGAAGGAATCAAATTCCTTGCTGTGAAAATAAGAATCATCTCTTTCCTTAGGCCTTCACTTACAGCTAGAAACAGACAAGAGTAAACAGATACATCATTTCAGATCAACCCTTTCCATGGCGTATGTATTATTACTGATTTATCTTCTAATCCTCAACTAAAAAGCTCTTATTTATGAGAAATCATGAAAAATAGGAAAACTATACGTACGATGTTGAAAAATGTGTGAATGTACAACTCCATAAAAATAAAATGCAAAAGTGCTGCTTGAAATATTATATTAAAAGTAAGTACTCTAGGGCACCTGGGTGGCTCAGTGGGTTAAGACTCTGCCTTCAACTCAGGTCATGATCCCAGGGTCCTGGGATCAAGGCCTGCACCCACCTCTCTGCTCAGCAGGGAGCCTGCTCCCCGCACCCCCACGCCTGCCTCTCTGCCTACTTGTGATCTATCTCTCTCTCTGTCAAATAAATAAATAAATAAAATCTTTTTAAAAAATAAATAAGTATAAAAATAAAAGTAAATAAATGGTTACATAAAATACCATTTTTCCATATAAACACATGTTAATTTATATGAAATCACATGAAAATAACTGCACATTTTAAAAAATCAAAAATAATTAAAAGAATATTTTAATTAATGTGTATGTTATTAAAGGAACACCTAGTCTGCTGCAAACATTCTGAAATCCAAGTAAATAAAAAGTCATTTGCATCTAAAGACAGCATTTGGTCCCTTCCAAGCTTAAACTATTTTCTATATTTTTAAGTGTATTAAATAAACCGGATTTCACTAGAAGGAAAGTCTAGCTAAGTTGCAAATTGGATCACATGAAGTCCAATATTCAGGGGAAAAAGTCATCATAGATATTTTTCTATTAGTTTGTGGGTTTTTTTGTTTGTTTTTACTAGCAGGCAGTCTAGCACATACATTTTAACCAGATTTCAAAAGTAAACTCTTTTCTGATTCTATAAAAAGGAAATTAACCTTTTGCTGAAAAACAACAGCCAAAATGATTTAGGAAAAATTTGTTTTGCTTTGTTCTTTTCCCCTTGATTAAACAGTCAAGTGATAAGTGATAGACTGGAAATTAGGAATTGATTTTACGAATGAAGTTACCTGGATAGGCAAGACTAGAGAGTTATCAGAGTAAAAACGTAGAAGAAAATGAAGAAAACATCTGCATGATTGTCTCAACAATGATTAAAACACTTAACAACTGGAATGTGTGTCTTTGCTAAAACCCAAATTAGCACTACTGGCACTTAAGTGCCCAATAATTGTGGGTTGTCTTTTTTTTTTTTTTTTTTAAATATTAACATCTGTTTGGCTTACTAATATTCCAGTTATTCCTTGCATATGGAAAAATACCTTCCAAAATAGGTAAAAGTTGATGGCCAATACTCGAGAGCCCAAAACACGAGCAACATCGCAACGGACACCAGATGTGAAAACAACATGGCTGAAATTTACCGTTTCCTGCAAGCTCAAATTTAGTCATTTTTAAAATCTAAAATCTTCTCTTTAGAATAACTTTAAAATTCCTTCTCATTTGACCTGTATTCTCATCCCCTCAAAAGAGAAAAGTTTTATTTTGCTTGAACACATGTTTGTTACTCAAAACTATTTCTCTCACCAATCTCCAATGATTACTAACTTCCTAGTATATTTAACTTAAACTTCTCTGTGGGCCTTTCTTTGCCCTCTGAATTCTGCCCACGCTTCAAAAGTTCAAACTAATTTCTTCCTTTTAGGTTCACAGAGGTGTGCTCAAGGACTCTATATCCACAAAGCTAACACATTTTGCTTAAACCAAACCATGTTCCATACATTGAGACCACAAATGTAGAAGATGCTTTTTGCCTCTTCCATTTTCTTTTATTTAATTACTTATTCTTTCAAGGTCAGCTTGCTTCCCAAGTACCACCACTAACTTCCATAACTACAACAATTCATAGCTCATATGCACCTTGAAGATTTTCACAGATATCCTCTTATGAATGACAAGTGTCCTAACTGAGCTCCCTCAATTCTTGCCTTAATGATACTTTCATCTTTTGGGGGAGGTTCTGTACATTCATGAGGATCACTTTATTTTTGTTTTATCCCAACTAGATTTAAAATCCATTAATGGAAAAAAAAATGACTTCTCAAGTCTTCTGATTTCTCATAGTGCTAAGCAATAGTGATGATCTATGAACAATGTTAATTGTTAATTAAAATTTTATGGGGTTGAAAATGTTCTGAGAAATAATTAAAAATATCCTCTGCTTAAAGGCAGACCTTAAGTAATTATAATAGAAGATGCTGATTTAACAAACATCACACCAAAAGCTTCCTCAACAACACATCTCTTTGCCTAGCAATACTTTGTGACAGCTAATAAATGAATTATTTAACTTTTCTGTTAAATATATTCACTCCTTTCAAGACATCAATGGAGGTAAAGTAATCACCAGTTTGATGTATAATCTAGCTTGAGGACTAGACACCAGCCTTTCATTTTTACCTTTCTAGAACCATTAAGTTTTTCTTGTTGTTAATACCTCCAAAGGAAAACAAATAATCGGCTACCTCAGAAATAGGAATAGAATCAGGTTTTTATTGAGTACATAAAAAAGGGAGAATATGCAAGATTATTTTTAAAATAGCTTCATCCAACATTCATTACTCTCTCACTAAATTAAGAATATTATCCAGAGATTGAGAAAGTGTGTATGTGTGTGAGTATATGTGAATCCTTAGTCTTCAGCAGTGAGTGACATATTTTAACAAAGAGTATATTTTTTCAGAACTAGTAACATTTATTTATCCCATAAATATTTACTGAGCATGTACTATATGCTGACACTGTGACAGGCACCAAGAATACATCAGTGAACAAAATCAATGTCAACCCTGTCCTCATAGAGTTTTCAGGTTATCTTGGGAAACAATTATTTTAAAAGCAGTGAACAAAGAAGGGAGCAAAAGGTGTCCTTAGGAATGAATAGGTGTCATTACCAGTTAGCTGATTTAAGAAGGCTTGTCTCTTTACAAGGTGAAAGATGGACTTTGTTCCCTGTTATGTCATTTCTACCTTTTTCTGAAAGTTCCTCTTACAGATAATTGACAATTGAAGACATCACAGTCAAAATTTATGTGTACTATCCAAAATCTTTGACTTGAAAGAAAATTAGTTTCTTTCCATTAAACAATATTAATCGCTCTGAGAATTGTACTTAATGATTTATGTTTATGAATAAATTTGAAAGCCTTTGATAAAATATATAAGTAAATTTACAGACATTTTGTATGTTCTTAGGTAAGTCTTTCAGGTACTCGGCGGCTGTATAAGATTTAAAGATCCACCACAATGTGGAAGACAACACAACACTGGGATGAAAGCCCAGAGTTTTTGTTACTTACAGCTCTGAAGGAGAAAATGCCTCTGGGCAGGGGCCACACAGAGAACTGCAACAAAGAATAGGTTAAAAAGAAACTGGGATTTCAGGGGGCAGTTTATGCATGGCAAATAGGCTGGGATGTTTCCTGGGCTCTCGATGGATTGACCAATAGTTGAATAATTCCTGAAAATCTAGGGCATAGGGGCTGTCCCCAGTTATGCTGGTACCTAAGAGCTGTGGCACTTAGGAAGGTTGCATAATGATCTAGGACCGTAAGAGCTCTAGAAGGGGAGTAGTGTGTGGTCTGGGTTTATTCAAGAAGGGGATCTCTAGCCAGGGCCTCAGAACTGAATCAAGACTGCATTAAAGAAAACAAACAAACAAACAAATAAACAAACAAAAAAACCCTATATTAAAAACCTATATTAAGTATATTATACCAGTGTCCTTACATGCTTGAGCTGCACTATGGGAAAATATACTTTGCTTTACGCTTTGCTAAGTTTTTATTTTGGGACATGACATTAAATAGGGAAATGTTTTCTTTCTTTTTTTTTTTTTTTATTTGGGCCTTTATATAATCACCGGCAGTTGCCCTGATATTAAAAAAAAAAAAACACCAAAAAAAAAAAAAACAAAAACCCAAAACAACAAAAAACCATGGGTTTTATTTTGGGAAATAACAATGCTTCCAAGTTGTCATGAATGGGTAAAAAGGAAAAAAAAAAAAAACACAAAAAAACAAAACCCACTTTTTAAATTAAAAAGTCCTGACAGCCCCTGCTCTTTAGAAGTTTATAATCAGAAGCATGCTGAACATGGAAGAGTTTCCAATTCATTTCTTTTATTTTTAGAAACAGTGACTGAGTTGTTTTATACTTTTTGAAAGGAGAAAAACATTCTAAAGCACTGATATGGAAAACTGTCACTTTCTAAAATATAATTTAAAATAATCATTCATTCTCCATCAAATACAGGGCACTTGAAATATCAGGAAAGTTTTGATAATATTGCAGAAAGTATATACATTAAAATATTGCTCTTTATCTTTGACCATGATTATTTTTAATGCTATCACTATAAGTAATTATTTTAATTGATGATTAATTATAGTTATTTTCCATTCATAAGCTCCCTCAGAAAGTGTTTACTGTGTTAGGGTATGGAGTCGACCACCCCTCAATTAAACAGAGAACACTCTGGATAATGCAAGTCACACAGCGAGGTTTATTTCCAGCTAGCTGGGGTCCAAGTATCTGCCCTGCGCAGCGGGTTTCAACAAGGACCCCAACACTCAAAGCCGAGGGTTTATATAGCATTTTCAAGGCACTTCTTCATGGCTACATACATATCTTGCGCCCCACTTTGACAGTTTAACTTTAACCTTTTGCCACCCTGGTGTCACCCTGGCGGTCACACTGGCGGTTAAGTGAGATTTAGGTTTAGAAGAAATTTAACTT